TGGGGGTTTCTTTTTTGTGGATGTTTCGTCTCCACTACGTCCTTCAGCTTCCGATTTTCATTTATGGCCTCTTCAAGTATTGCCAGTTCTTCCTTTTTCGTAACTTCTACTAGGAGCCCTCCTTTGTTGAACTCTCTTTATATTCTTGACGCCTACTTTGAGTTTTCCTGGATCTATGTACTTCACCAGCTTCTCCTTTACCTCGTCGGATGTACTACCCTCAGTCTTAGGATAGACTAGTAATACATGCTCTGTCTCTTGCCGTGATCTTGATTGTGATCGTCTAGATCTAGAACTACTTCTGGATGGCCGTCGAGATCTTGCAACTTCTGCAAAAGACAGCTTTTGAGTGGCGACTATTCCTTGGATGTATGTCTCTATATTCTTAGTTTGTTCAATTTGTCCTTCCAAATTGGCAATTTTGTAACTCTGCCGAGACTATCTTAACATATGGTCAAAGAAACCTCGTATCTTTTTGTTTGCTTTTGTGGAAATGTCGTCTCTATTTAAATATCCAATTAGATTAGTATAGCACTCTGAAGCCTCTTGATACTCTGTACTGGCATCTACCAAAGTTATATCAACGTCTAGCTGTCGTGTACTGCTCTGTTTCTGTGTCTTATCTATTATTGGAGCACTGGCCGACTGCGTCTCATTGTCGGGGCGTTGCCCCTTAGGCTCTTTATTTTTTGGACGAACCATCTCACTTTGTGTTTTAAATGGTTCCAAAATAATTTTTTAAGCAGAAATTTGAATTATCTGACGGAAATTAAACAAATCGACCAACTGGCAGAAAGATTTCAAAATTCGGTGCACCAAGGTTTTCGACATCACCTTTTCGGCGGGCAGACAGACTTCTTCAGATGGTGCACCAAATCCGTGGTGTCAACATATATCCGCCACACTAAGCCTAACGCTTACTCAGAATTACAAATGCATATAACATTTTTCATACATGTACCAAAATCACAATTTTCAAAAAAATAGGTAGAGAAACAGATATAAAATCCTATTTTGTACTCAAAAGTTATTAGCACAGTATATAAAAGCCTTGAGAGACAATGCTTACTCAGGATATGCAAATGAGGGCGGCGGACAGCAACAATTTTAAAAGTCTTCCTATCCTCGGAGATTTCCCTTCTTCGCAGAGAAAAACACCACAAATATCGCAACCGGAACTAGTAATCCATGGAAGAATCACATTTTCACAAACACAAAGTGGTATATTAATTACCAAGATTTTAGCACTTTTAACGGAGCACACAAAACCACAACCAATATGGCCGCTGACATGCGCAGATCTCTAAGCCGGAGAGATGAAAAATGAGCAACGCCTTCGCCGGGAATCGAACCACAGACCTCTGGAATACCGGCCCAATGTGCAGAACCACTACACAACGAAGGCACGCTGGGAAGGGGGAGAAATACCTTACAGTGTTTTCTAACTTTTTTTTTTTGGGTTCAGTTGCGGCTGTTGTTGTTTCTGGTTGCTCTAGCGCAGCTCATAAAAAGACGATAGGGCGACGTAAAGTCTACCAGGACGACCAGGCTACACCCCTCACATCACACCACATAAAAGAAATTTAAAACGCCTTTTGAATACACATTTTTCCTGAGGTACTTCTAAATTTTAAAGCTTAAAATGTATTATGAGACTACTTGGTCGCTTATGTGAAGCGATAAACATGCTGAAGTCGATTGCTGTAGTATTATTAACATTTTCAACAAATTCTGAATGTGATTTCGTGCTGGTACTAATTTGAAAGCATTCTTGCTGCGGGAAGATATCAAGGGCCGCGTGTGACGCATGAACTGAGTTGACATTGATACATCTATATGATGATGCTAACAATAGCATTAAAAGTTAAAAAAGGAAAATCTTGATCTAAGTAATATCTAGAGCTTCGTTTGCTAACGTTTAACGACTGATAAAATTGTATTCGGTATCCTTCTGAAAGATTTCGTTGTTTCATTCATTGTAAATGCGACAGGAATACGTAATTCTTGAGCATGCTGTCATACCTATTAATTAAACGTTGTAATCATGAGCAGTATTTCATACAAACAAAAGTTCTGAGTGGTTTTGAAGTCTAAAGATAGCCTGTGAGATAATTATAATGAATTGTGAAAGCCCTGGGGATATCTGTCCAGCTAATTTGCTCTATATTTTTCAACAACTGTAGAATAAGAAGTAGTAGATCTTTTGCATTATATGGCACAAAGCAAATTTCGCTTAATAGGTTTACAGTGTTTACTGACTCACCTATCAGTTTCTAAATGAGTAATATTTAATGTTTGCTCAATAAAACGTAACAGGTAAACTCAATCTCATCGCATTTCTGAGAAAGTAATGCTGACTGCTTACAGCAAATTTTTATATCGAGCATTATAACTTAAATAGGAACTTAACTTTAAATAAAAATAATAAACATATATCAACTGTATTTTAAATACACAGACCTCCATTTTCATAACCAACGAAACTTAGTAGTTGATTACGAGGAAAAAAACTGATGGGTTTGTTTTAGCTTTCAAAATGAAATGCTGTTAGTGTAATCAGTTACAACCTATATATGAGTTTATAAACTGCAGATTTTGTAAAGTGGCTTTTCGAAAAACTTACATATGTTAGCGATATGAGAAAATATTATTAATATTATATATATACTCAGAAATCATTACAATACTTCTGTTACTTTATTGAAATGGATATTTTACTGAACCATAGGGTTCCGTAGCCTGATAACACACTTGCACTAAAGGGAGAAAGCTTGAGATAGCAAACTTATATTTGACAGCTAAATTATGTATATTTTGCCTTTTAATTATTCTGTAGTGTTTTACTTTATTATTCTAATAGTTATTTTTATTTTAAGGCCAATCCTTTCCTGTGCGCTCACATTTTTTTACTTACATTTTCCTACCAGAAAAAATTTTTGTATTACGCTTTATGCAAATGAGGTAAGAACTGGTATATGTTCTATATGCTAGTTATCACCTCATATACTTAGCTAGTATATGTTCTATATACTAGTTCTAGTATAAGCTGAGGTCTAAGTTACTCCAGTAGGAGAGCGTGTCCTGCCTTTCGGCCACGTTGTTGCTACTAGTTAAAGCTCACTATTTTACGGATGTACTTATTATGTGCATGTTAGTTTACACCACTGACTCTTAGTTAAGGGTCAATTACGCGAGATTGATTCTGTGCAGCTTCAGCGGATTAAATCTATTTTAGTTAGTTTCCTGTTTTTTATTTTGAGTTAAAGCCCAATGGAGGCTTCTTGTATGCCAGAGAGGGGCCAACTGTTAATTTATTATTGAGTTAGAATAAAAAGGTATTTTAACCCTTCTCTGGAGTGTTTACTTTCGCAAAAATAACCCAGGGAATAGTCGCTATACAGTTCTTCAGTATTCTAGCTTTTAACGAAATTTATTTTAGCTAGGATATTACAATGCCTTTATCATTTCGTATTTTCCCATAAAATTCCATTTTAAATACTTGGAAAATTAAAAAATAACGCTGTATTATAAATCTCATTAGTTTTGTACAGTTTTTTTATTGCTTATTTATACAATAATAGCAGCTAAATTGTTTTTACTCTAGATGAGCATTTTCACAAAAAAAAAAAAAAAAAAAAAAAAAAAAAAAAAAAAACTATGAGGTCAAGGTTATCAGACCTTCTTTATCATCTATAAAATTTAAGTAATAGTTGCATTTAATTCTTTTAACATTCATTAAAGAGTTTTAGTTTCGGTGTAGATTACAAGAGGTTATTTCTGAATTTTTCCTTCTGACATTTCATTATTTAAACATAAACTTCATGCATTACGCAAAACGCAAAGAATATATCGCAGGAAACTATATCTATCTGAATTAAAAATGTCAATTATGTACCACTTTGCCTATTTCAAGGAGTACGCAAACGAATATTTCAGTTTAAACATTTACAACAATCATATATTTACAAGCAACAGTTGTAAATAAACAGCTAATGTTTGTATGGCACAAAATTAGTATTTGCTTTTCGATAATTCTGAATCGGAAGAGTTGTAGGATTCTCCACTGTGTAATTCTAAGTTACAGTTAAAAGTGAAGAATCTTAAGAACTAGTAAGCAAATAATCGCTTGAGTTCGTGAGACAGTGAAAATAAACTTGGAAAGGGTTAAAAGACCCTTTATTATTCAAATAAAATTTAACAGAACTCCGTCTTGGAGTTATACAATAAAGCCGACATTCAGAGCTTGAACTTGAAGAAACTAAGAATTAAACTAAACTAATATTAACTAAAGGAGATATAGCCGAAGCTATCAAAATTCTAAGAGAGTTGGATACTTAACGCTAATTGACTGCGAAGCTATCAAGGGCCTAAAGTACGGCCGAGCGTAATAATAGCTTGCGAGAGAGTAGCCTAAAAAGGCGGACACGTGCTAGCCAGAATATCTGGTATCTCTCTGACTAAGACAGTAGAACTTCGCGGTTAAATACCTCTCTTCCTCATTGAGACGTGATTCTAAAACTAGGTTCTGGCCGGAAGTGGTAAATTGAAATTAAGAAGCGATAAGAAACTAAGTTTAACTCAAAATTTACCTGTTAATAAAAATCCTTACAGAGTGAACGTTGAATTTTAAAATAAAGAATTTATATTATGCGAATATGAAGAAAGAGAATTAATGAAAAACTTCTAATGTTGTGTGTATTCTAAATAATGCTGACTCTCTAGATATTTTGATACCTTAACTTCTGACAGAAATAAAAACTGAGGAGTTTGTCCTCTTGAAAATGATAATGCAACACTATATTTAAGAACAAAGAATGTTTACAGTTATTAAATGTGTCGTAAATCTCTTTAAACAGTTGCTTAAAGCGAAAGTAGTTTTATTAATGCAATGAAACGGGCTAATAACAGAAATACCAGACATATTATTCACCATGTTAGGAAGCATAATTATTTTTAAAAGGCTTGAATTCATAACTTTTAATTTGATTTCGGTTTCTTACCTACATAGGGCTTCGTACCACACATGGACGTGGCCAGTTCACCATCTTTCAATTCGATAGCAATGTTGAAATCGATCAGACGAATGTGACCTAAAATCAAAAGAATTAATTAAAACAAGGATGTGAATGCTTATATTTAAAAACAGTTTCATTTTTCTTCCTGTGAGGAATTTGACGAAAATTTTCTTCTATTTCAGTCATTCAGCAGCTTCAATTTAAATTAAGAACGAAGGTCTCTATGTGTTTTAGTTATTGTGATTTTAATTCTAATTTTTATCGCTGGTATTTTGAACAGAGAGAGAAGTATTATTTAGAGTAACATCATTAATAAAGACTATAATTTTAAGTGAAATAAGTGTGTAACGAAGCTAAATATCTCAGAAAACCTGAATTCTGAGTGAAAATATTTGCATTCAATATTTGTTCCTGATATTAATAACTTTTACGCAAAATGTATCGGTTAGTTATGAAGCAATAACCCTGATTCGTTTTACTTACATTTTATTACATATTTTTGAGGAAATGTATAATGTTATTATGTACAAAATTGAGCGTATAGCAATCGCAATTCCAATTAGATAATACTAAAAACTAATAGTAATAATTTATGCTGAGTATAAATTAAATGCTGAGTATAAATTCAATTCGAATTTATGAATTCGAATTCTTTTAATAAGAAAGCAGTGAATTTTTTTTTTCAAGTAACCTATAAGAGAATAGAATTTTAAGAAGTACCCATAAGAAGATGGTAGTGAGGAAGGGGGAAAAATTATAGCCTAGGTTCCCAAGATGCTCAGTGAAACAGAGATTTTGTGCACTTTATAAACTTTTTTCAGATTTATTCCTTTAGCAAAAGTCTCTCACTTAACCATGTAACTGAATTATAACTATACTATACACCGTTTTAAAGAATATGTCTTCGGTTATATATATACTGTTTCATCGAATTTCTTTTTATTTTGTTTAGAATTCCATTTATGTATTATTCAAAATTTTCATTTTCAATACATTTGTTGCTGTACTGCTAAAATTCCGAGAACTAAAATCTCGACTCTCTTTCTATGTTTATTGTAACTTATATTCACAGTGTCATATATTTCATGTGTTGTTTCACTGCTATGTAGATGAATTAGTTATTTATGCTCAATTTGCTCGACAAAATATTTTAGTATTCTACATAATTTTTAAGCAAATTTATGATTTTGACCCTATTTTTTTTATAAATTTAGTTCTTTTTGCATTTTCAGGCTACCCATTGCAACCTGTAGAGTTGGCATTAAGGAAGGCACAAATTTTTATGGTTAATTTTCTGGTTTTCTGAAATTAATTTCTCATTGTTACGGATTTTGTATTTAGATAGCTATTTTTGGTAGAATTGTAATTAAAATTGTTTTATTCACCCCTGTAATGCAGCGCGTGACGAGTTTTGAGAGAAAGCTACGCCGAAAAAGTAAAAATACAGGAGCATGCGCTATTAATAAATATATATCTCTTAATTTATATTTAAATTGAATAAATGCAATTGTGTGTTAGCTGTAAAAGTAATTCTAATCTTTTGCTTTCCAGAAACCCTGAGAAATTACGAGAAGTTTCTCATGAATTGATTAAAAAGCTTATAAAAGCCGGATAAAAACATCTCAGTTCAGTTGCTTAGATAACGGATGTTATTAACTTTAACGAATTCACGGTGAGATCGGATTAGCTTTCTATGAGCTTTGAATTGTGTTCTATTTAACGGTTTAGTAGTTTAAAATATAACTACTGTGTGATATTGTGATAGTGTACGAATATCTATCAGGAAAAATTTCAGCATTTTGTTTTATTTCTTGTGAAAGAATAAATTTTATTAACTTTTCATCAGACTTGTGCATTCAAGCTGTTACGTACCCGTACGCACGCAACATTACTTATAATTTGTTTTATTATCATCTCAGAATCAAGCTGAATCATTTATTTCTTTTGTTGCATCCACCCGCTAACGATAATGCAGCGAAAGATGTAAATAGCCGTTCTTCTTTGATTGTATGCTTTTCTCGGTTTACACTTTTGTGCACCTTTTCGTTCAATTAAACACTTCTTCTCGGTTTTATTTTGACTAGTTTGCTCCGAGTTGAATATGGAATGGATTTAAATGTTTTATTTTTATTTTGCAGTATTACCGAAAGTTGTAGTTACAACTATCAACGCATGATTCGATAAGGTTCTTAAACTGCTTTTTAATTTAAATTTATACATTATATATAACATTTTCGAAATTCCAAATTCGGGCTTCCAGGTGCCCATATTTGGGTGGAGGACTACGTTTTTCAAAATTTGATAGCTCAAGGTATCGTTGTTTTTTCACATTGCGAGAAACATATGCACGTTCATTCGGATTCTTCATTATCTAATTTCTTCAAATACAATACAAGGTGATATTATTTGGTGGCAACAATTTGAAAAGTGAAACGGGCATTTATAGTGAACCGACTCAAAATGCTGGTTAATAGCCGAGACTAATAGCCCTTCTGGGCTAACGCGCCTGTGGGTTAATAATTAAGAAGCACATTCAAGAGATTTTAAAAAATGATATTATAATTCCAATATATAGCCCATACGCTAGCCCGATAGTTCTATGCAGAACGAAAAATAATCTCCCACCAACGGACCATAAAGCATGGAGTTTTGAAAATGATTATCGAAAATTAAGTAGTATAACTAAATATCTCGCCTATCCATTTCCCATAATTGAAGAAATAATTAGAAAGATTTAGTGAATGAAATACATATCCACGCTAGATCTCAGCTCTAAGTATTTCCAAATATGTCTGAAACCAGAAGATGTGCCCAAACCCGGGTTATTACCAAATCAGACGTTTATCCTCAGAATGCCGTTTGGCTTCCTCAGAGCATCCGCCACGTTTCAAAGGGCAATGGACATTATACTAAGATCTGTCCTCGGTAAAAGCACATTCATTTTTCCAGGTGATATTATTGCTGGCAGAAAAATAATAGATGGACATATTTGAGATTTATACGAAATATTTTCGCTTCTGCAAGAAGCAGAGTTAAAAATAAATGTGGCCAAATACAAATTTGGAGCCAAAGAAGTTCGTTACTTGGGCCATAAGATAAAGTAATGAATCAAGACCAAAGTTTGTAAAATAATTGCAATAAGGAATTACCATCTACCAAATGCAGCAAAGAAGTTAGCCTCATTTTTGAGTTTGTGTTCCTATTATAAACTTTTATCACATATTTTGTACAGATAGCAGAACCGTTATTAAAGTTTAAAAGAATCAAGTTTTATCAGGTTTTCCGAAGCAAAAATAGAGTTTGAAAGACTGCAAACAGTTAATCCAAGAGCTTGTAATAACATTCCCTAACGGACATTGGAAATCACTGCAGATGCATCGAATTTTGCCGTAGAAGCCGTGCTTATGCAAGACGGACAGCCAGGTCCATATTTTAGTCAGAAGCTTAATCCAACTCAAGGGAATTATACGGCTGCAGAGAGGGAAAAGTTAACAGTTCTTTTGGTTCAGAAATTTCGAGTGTATCTTGGAAAATCACCTCTAAAAATTTATATACATCATATGCTGCCGTGGTTCGTTTGTGTTCCGGAAAGAATTTAGCACCAAGATTCATCAGATTGGCTCATAAGCTACAGGAATACAACTTAATATTTAAGTATACTTCCTGAAAAGAAAACTTGGTAGCGGGTGCTCTATCGATAATTAAATTAGGTGAGGAGGGGAATGAACTCAAATGTGCTATGTTAACTTCAAAAATTGTGAAATATCGCGGAGCAATTATTTCTGAATTACAAACAGACCCAGAATTAAAAAAGATTTGTGCTTACGTAGAGCAATCTGAACACGAGGATGTAACGGCTATGAGAAACAGAGCTTCAAATTGCGAAACTATTCACAATCTTTTGTTTTACTTCAGAGTAACAAACGAAGAAACGAATTCAGACCGGTTATTCCATGAAGTTTGAAATTAAATGTTTTCCAGGAATTACATGATGCGCCAATCTCATGGCATCTTGTGATAAGAGAAACGGTGCAACGAGTTCGAGAAGCTGTCTATTTTCCAAAACTACAAAAATTTGTTAGTAAGTACTGCAAGTCCTGTAATATTTGCCAGTTAGGTAACGATGCTAATTATAACCCGCCAAGGTGTCTAAGTAGTATTAAAGTTACTTTTCTTAAAGAATTAATAGGAATTTATTAGACCCATACCCACTTAGTGAAAATAACAAAAATAAATGTTTGCCCGTAATCGTGGATCATTTTTCGAAGTAAGTAGAAATAGTTAGTTCCCCTGAAAAGAGCTTCCGCTAAAATTGATGCCTATTTTTTTCCTTAAATAATATGATATTAAAATTTGGGACTCCATAAAAGTTAATATCACATAATGGTAAACAGACTTTTAGTCAAACTTTGAGGATTTATGTACAGGACTTGACATGTAGCATTTCAGAATGTTCCTTATAGGCTGCAATATAATATTGCAGAACGGAGGAATTGTTAAAATCATTTTCAGGTCTGCAAAAAATTATCATAAGCTCTGGGATCAACGAACCTTCCATTTGCCTTGAGAGCGGTTAAGCATGGCACTCGGGAGGATGCCAGCTGAATTTTTTTTGGCAGAAAATTAATTATACCTTTTGAGAAAAAGAAGCCTAAAGAAAGAAGTCTTTGTTCAAAAGAAGGCTGAGGAATTTAAGATAGCAGACATCCAAACGCTAGCCAATGAAGCTCTCAGAGTGTCCGGTATGGCTAGAGAAAAACAAAATTTTTAATCTGAAATAAGAGGCGAGAAGTTGACAATTCTTGAAAATTAAGCTCTTTCATGTAGCCCTTAAGATAAAATGGAGAAGTTTGGCAATAAATTTTGAAGTTGCATTTATGATTGAGCAAATAAGGGGCACTGGTAGTTTGGTTAAAAACTCCAAGTGGAAAAAAGTTAAAAGCAAACGTGGATTAATTAAAATGCTATTACGAACGCGCTGATATGCCTCTTCTTAGAGATGTTTTACAGTACCACCTAATCTGAATAATGAAGGATCATCGAGAAATACGGCGAATTCCATCAACTTCAGGAATGCATGTCCCGGGAAGAAAATAAAAGGAGGTCAGGAAGGGCGAAAGAGAAAAGAAAAGATCAAAAAGCGACCAAAGATATTAAAATGGTAATGCAAATCATTTCCTTAGGATTGAAATTTAACCATCTTAAATTATTATTAAATGTCACTATACTTAACTATATTGAACAAACACTTTTGATAGCATTCAATTTATATGAAATTTCTTGCGAAAGGAGATAAAATTCTTACCATGTTCGTCGAGCAATAAGTTTTCTGGCTTGATATCTCTAGAAATAAAGAAAAAAAATAATAAGAGTTCTTCCATTTATCCCTGAGATAATCGTAGCACAGTGTAATTTTAGTTAAAAAAAATCCTAGATGACGATATTTTAACAGCAATACTTTGCAATTTAAATTTTTTCTACTAAGTTAGGAGTAATTACTGCATTAGGTGAAATGTTTAAAATAATATAAACTGCTATATGATAAAAGGATGTTTCAATTAGATACATCTTCGTACCAAATTCCGGTACGATAACCTAATATATTTACGAAAGGTACAGTATGTTGGTACTTGGTATGTTATGAGCTTTGAGTAGTATAAACGCCAAAACACGAACGCTGGTAACTGCACAGAAGCAAGGGAGCGTTCTCCAATTTCAGTCATTGATTTAAATACGGAAATCCTGAAAACGCTGATGGCAACTTTCTATATAGTTACCAAAATTTTTCATTAGTTTCTCTCTAAATTAATTTAGTAAGTAGTAGATAAAACAAGGCACTATTGCATACTGATTCTTTGCTTAAAGGTGTCAGGGTCTTATTTCCTTTCTAATTTTTTAAATTTTATCAAGAAGCTGAAACGTAACCTTTCAGCATTGTAATGAAAAAGCCGGATTTAACTTATATTTAAGACATTACAAATCCATCTCCACATTTAACAACTGGAATTAAGTGTCTGAATTTAAGATCTGCGTTTGGGTTCCTCCAAACGATGGGGAAAATGAACATTATAAAAGTATTAAATTTTCTGTTATTAATCCAAAGGGTCAATTTTCCCTGAAGGACTGTTATTTTCGTTTAGGCATTTTGCGTTGGTTTACTAAAAATGTCCGATGCATTTTTCAAATTGTTGCCACCAAATATTATCGCCCTGTATTATATTTAAAGATATTAAATTATGAAGAATCAGCATAAATGTATATATGTTTCTCGCATTGCGATAAAACAACGGTACCTAGAGCCATCCAGTTTTGAGTAACGTACGTTTCTACCTGAATATGGGCACCTGGAAACCCAAATTTGGTATTTGTTTTATTATCTATTTCATATTTTGTTAAACTTTAACGAATTTTTGATTAACAAACTCAACGGTTTAAAAACGAACAATGGCTACACTCTACGGAGGAAAAAAGAAACTTTTTATCTCCAACGCGCGGAACTGTATAATGGAAATTCTAAACGTATGCTCATTTTAAAATTATTTTGTGATATTGCTGTTGAACTGAATATTAGAGTTTAAGTGCGAAGAACATGATATTTAATAAATAAAGGTAACACACAAAACGTTAAAAAAAGCCTGTTTGGACATAATTTAAAATCTGAAGCTTTTCAGATTTTTTTCACTGATTATTTTATTATAATATTATGATTACTGATTATTATGATTATTTTATTCCTTAAGTTCTTATTCTTTAGGGAATTTATCCTACTAAATTTTAAATGAATGCCTCGATTATGCAGGTTGGTGAAGGATTCTTTCTAGCTGCTCTTTCCCCCTCATTCAGGTTAGAATGCAGAGAAAGCGATGTGTGTCATGGGTGGTTTCATGCTTTTCTTAATTAGAGGTGCTTTCTTATAGCAAATCTGTCACTGTTTTATCTTTATTTTTAATCAAAGAGCTCTCGCAGGTTTTCCATAGTCCATCAAATAAAATAAAATTAGGTATCATCGAGCACTAAGCTGTATATTTGGCAACATTTCGGTTTGAGAATTTCCCATCAAGCAACTTTCTGGAGTGATAATATCCTTTTCTCTACCATCTGAGACATAAAATGGATGCAATATGCTTAAAGAATCTTTTACAAACTTTCCCCATCAAATAAAGATGCAACTCTGCTGGCTATTTCTTTAGTAGCAAAACATTTTACATAGTTTATAGCATAACTATTTTATTTTTTTATCGAAGCTTTAAAGAAGGTTATTACTTTAGAGGATGCACTTATTAATTTCAATCCTAGTATGTGAAGTAAGATATTTGCTCGCATGCCTTAAAGAATGCGTACAAAATCAAATTTTATTTGGAGTTTTCTTATTTGGTGTGAGGTTTATTAATAAAAATTTTTTGTGGATATGTTATTAGAGAAATACGTGATATGTTGCTTAGAATAATTGCAGCAATATAGCATATACGGTCGAACCCAGCTGTAATGGGCTTCACGGGGGTAGAAAGTTTGGTTCGATACATCCGATCCGATAAGAAAAATGGATTATCTCACGAAAGGGTGTAAAATTAAATAAAGAATAATAAAAAACTGAATAACATTATCACATCTACCAAAGAAAGTGAATAAACATTTAATTAAAAATAATATTAAGATTTAATTGCAATTGTTATTTCACAAAGTCATTAAATTTATCGGTTGTTCTTTCCCAATTTCATTAAACGTTTTTAATTTCCTCAAACGTTAAATTAGTTAGCATAAATATCACAGTTTCGATTCTTCCTCGAATTCTCCCCTTATAAATATGAATAATTATTTTGTCCATAATAATATTAAAACATTAAAAATGAATAACCAAGAATCTTGACGAATTTATCTTTAAGATTTATATAACTGATAGGTACAAAGTTATCTGCAGTTTTCTGGTGATGTGATGCAGGTTATGGGAAATTTTTATTCATGTTTTCAAAGTAAAGATTCCGTAACTTTTATTCAGAACGCCCTATGTCCTGCATAAAACCTAAAGAGTACAAAACCCTTATTCAAAAGACATAACTTAGATAGCATTTATCTCTGTAGTTGACTCCCGTGGTCGTGCCGATGGAAACAAGAATTATTGTATTATCCGTAGCGTGGGGTTCATAAGTGCAAAGAACATGATATTTAATAAATAAAGGTAACAAACAAAACGTTAAAAAACTCCCCTTTGGACGTAATTTAAAATCTGAAACCTTTCATTTTTTATGAAGCTGTTTATTATTTTTTATTTTTTATGAAGTTTTGCAGAGTAAAATTCTATGCAGTTTTTAAACTTAATGTTTGGTATTCCCTTTAAGCATTTTTCCTCTACATTTAAAAGACAGGCGAAAGTATTTAAATAAAACAAGCGGAGAGATATTAAAATGTAATTCTGTAAAAGACTAGCCAACAGTATCATACGATCCACTACTTCCTCTTTTTTTGAATTGCGAAAATTTCAAAATTTCCATCATAACATCTAATTTCAAAGTAGCTCAATCAAAAAATTCGAATGCTATCAGAGAACCCATTGGCGGCCTTTAATTCAATGGACACTTACATCATATAGTATCTTAAGATGTGTTTATTGCGTCCCCTTTCTCATAAAATCTGGTTTATACCTGCTTTACTCAACCTTTATTTAAAACACTGAGAAAAAAGGGGGATGAAGATGAAAAGAGAAAGTATCGTAAAAGTGTTTTTCCTTGGCGGATGGAATGTGGATCGGAATATCCCGAACGTTGATGATTTTAATGGTTAGAAAATATTTTGGTTAAGATTGTAGACATATCTGAAAAATATAAAAAATACATAAAAGTTTCCACCGAAAATTTCCATATAGTTCGTTATATCTAATTTTCATACCTTTTCTGGTATTCGCTATAGTGGTGTAAAATAACAATAAATGCATAGGAAGTTGAATGGGATTAAAAGGTTTGTTCGTTATATCCGAGGGTTCCTTATGTTCATTATAGCGCGGTTTGACTGTATTTTATTTATAAATATTATCACATCTGAAAGTGAACTATACTTCTGAGAAAACAATTAGTTGTGTTCTCCGAAATACAGTTCAGAGACCTTAACATGAAATCCACTGGGTTCCAGTGGGTTACTGGACAAGAAAATCCAGTGAAAGAAGGCACACCTAATTTTATACTAAGGGCAATAACAATCTTGGAGTCAAACTGCGTGTAGAGTAGTTGGAGTTATCTCAGTGCTTGGAGAAAAAATACTAAATGATTTTATTTTGTGTTAAGATCTATATTAAATTCCTCGCATTAAGTATATCTCAACTTACAAATATTAAATTCGTGGATAAAGCCTGTTTCTACATTTTGAGAATTTCTACATAATTGATAAATCAACACCTGGGGAAACTGCTAAGGTTGCTTTTTTGTATAGTTCCAAATATGATTGTTAGGTTGTATGAGAAATAACTTTGGAGCTTATATATTTCCAATCCTGTTTGTTTAATCTATGTGTTGATTTATTAAGCTCTTTGTTTAACTTACTTAGCCGTAACAACGGTTCCTCCCAGAAAAAAAAAAAAAAAAGAAACAGATTATGCAAGTATGATATGACATTATATAAACTTTTCCATTCAAAGAAAACTTGCTTTAAATTATTTTTTAACAGTCTCTGAAGATATTTTAAGTTATTTTCTAACAGGTCTTCGATGCTATGATTATATTGTTTTTATGTGTTTCCAGGGTATGGTTCATTAAGTCTAGAGCCATAACAGCAGCTTTCTTTCAGTCGCGCGGGTGCTCATTTCCTTGCATTTGAGGGAAAAGCGCAGAATTATGACAAATTGCTAGATGATTTTGGAGCCCTTTAAAATCTGGGGCTTTAAGCTCAGGCCTGCTGGCCTAGCCGGAAATTATGCCTTTCATGTTTTGCATATCACTTTACGCAATTAAAGTGCATTTACGTAATTTTACTGCACAATCTGAAATAAAACGTAAGCGGAAAAAAGAAATTTCCTCACTTACACAACGTTAAATATGATTTGGCATGCACAAAAAACACGACTTAGGTATTCGGAATTTTTGAATACATGAATAGGCTTTGGCCATTATACGGCAAATATAAATTAAATAACTCACATTCGAAAAGTCTCTAGTTATCATATGGGGAAGCGCATAACCCACTTAATGGATATTCTGGCATCAAGAGGTCTACAACTTTGCAACATAGAGTGATGCTATCCAAATCATTTCACCAAACAGCAGCACCTTGGCACCAGAAATGTACCGTGGGCTTCAGAAAGGCATTGCAACTCTGGATAGCAAGTGTAAGGGGCCTGTACCTACTTACTCAGGGTAAATAATAGATGGTCCCTGCACTTATACCTAACATAACCTGTTACTTTTAAGTTACATCGCCACGAATGGTTGACTTATTTGCGAAACACGAGACGTGCATTTATATTCCAGAAAACCTTCAGAAGACTTTGTGATTCTTTTTCAGACGAAGCGATGACTTGCTCCAAGTCTGTTAAAAGTTTTTTTATGCTAACAACGAAACGGAACTTTATAAAGTCTGGAAATCAAAACGCACATCTTGGGCTTTAAAAATATAACAAGCACAGCTTATCTGTAAATAACACTCAGGCAACTCAAAATTATAACAAAATCTAATTGGGACAACTAATCTATTGTAGCAACTACGATTAATTTTCCAAGATATTACCATCATTGTGTAGTAACGTGTAAGGTAGTTTTGAAGTTATAATCTAAAATTAATTTCAAACAAACCAATAAACCACCATATTCCTAAATGTTTCTTAATCCATTTTATTTAATTGTTAGTTTTAATATTTAAAAAAAGAATGGGTTTAATCTCAAAGAAATGATTGACTCGAAGGAAAATTGAATAATTATATGGTCATGGAAATGAAACAGAACTTGTAAGGAATTCGAAGGAAATAAGTTCGTTTTTAATTATTGGTGTATGCAACATTATCATAATTCTTTCTATACTTAAATTGGAATTCCTAAAAATGTTCTTTCAGTTAATCCTTATTATTTGTTGAAATGGGCTTCATTTTTTAAATTTATTACTAAAGGTTGCTATAAGGTCTCCTACATATAAATAAAGACGAAAATGCGCATTTTATTCGACGTAAATTTAATACCAGAATTTTAAAAACTGTCGCTGATTTTGTTCTTTTATTATAGCCCAATCCTGATAAATGAGAGTGTCAAAATTTTATCATTAGTATCTCGCATTTTCTGCTATCAGTTTCACGTTACCAGTAATAATGAGAAAATATTGGTTTCTGTAATAATTAACATAGTAATTATTGTCCTCCTTTAATACCTCTTATTTGTTAGTCCAAAGGAAAGAGGAATTGTATGCTTTGTTATTTTTTTGTCTTACGTACTTTCGCCAACTTTTTTTTAACGAAAAATTTATCTTTACAAAGTTCTCATATTACTCAGCTATTATCTTGTAATTAATTACAGTCTGGCCAAACTGTAACGTCTCCAGATTATTTTTCTCTTCGTTACAGTAGCGTTAGTGATCGATAGAAAGGATACGGAAGTTTTACTGCAGTAAAGTTTTGTACTAGTTGTGAGATAATATTCAACTAAAAATGATGATGCTTTTTTCCTTGTCTACGAATTGTCAATTTTATATTTGTCTTCTGGGTGCAACTAGTGCCTTAGGAATGAATTAAAAAAATTTTTTCTTTCCTTTCACATTAACACATAGAAACGGCTGATCAGAAAAAATACTGTACAGGCTTAGGGTTAGTTCTTTTTATAATTAGTACATCAGACAACAGAAATTTCATCTTTTGTATACAACAAAAGTAATTTATATAAGAAATTTTGATCTTAAAAGCACCATCTTTTCTTAACTTAACTTGAATGCTAATTTTAATAAATCAAAGAAATATCCACGCTAATAATACTTTTATTTCAGTTCGTACAGTTGATTACAAAAAACATGCTAAAACATGCTTTGATATATGTCTGCTTTAGAACATTACCTTTAGAACTATTATTTGAGAAAACCTGGTGGATTACCTAAAACAAATTGCTTGTATTCAGGTTGTTGGATTAATGTTATGATACAGATTTAAAAATACCAAGCAAAGATCTATTTAACGGAGAAACGGAAGTTGAAACTACATGTATGATATATAATTAATCATTTGGTCATTTATAGCATGAAAACTTAGTTTTTTCAAGAATAATTTTCCTTTAGTGGAGAAAATTTTGTTTGATGTAAAAAATATTTTTTGAACAAACTATTTAATTAAAAAAACTTTTCTTTATTTTGTATTACTTTAAGTAATGTGGTAGCTTTTGTTGTTATATAATTTCACTTCAAATAGATCGGAAAGACTTCAAATAGATCGGAAATATGAAATAGGTAATATGCAGTTTTAAATGATAGTATTTCTTCCGATTTCCTGTCGCAAATCAAATAAGAATACAGTTTGTTTTCATAGAATGAATAAGTGATAGATAAATTTTATAAGAAATGTTACAACTGTTTTGTACGGACACAACAATTAAAAACGAAACAAACAAAATGTTACCTTTACAAAATAATAATATTGGATTATTATTCTCGAAGGTAGAACTTCTTAACGTCCTTTACAATTTGCTCCAACAAATATCTTTCTACATTTTTATAACATCACATAAATTCACAGTAATAAGTGTCAATTAAGTTTCTATTAGCAGCACATTTTTCCTTTTTCTAATTTTCTCAGAATTCCCAAATTACTTCTACTGTCTGTGCGTTAGCATTACTTATGTTGTTTATACTGCATACTTGATATATTCTTACTGTGACACTGTATGATGATCACAGATCAGACATTATTAATACAGATATTATTTCACCCATTTCTGAATAATTTAGCAAAGTATCAGTCACAGCATATAAAAATCCCTCCCTGAAGGGAACAAAATAGAAATTTCATGGAGGAGGGATGGAATTAAAAAAAGGCCTAAATGATGAGCCGTCACTGAAAGAATGTTAGTACTCTTACAAGAGAGTTTTACATTTATTCTAGGACTCAAATATTAAGTTATATTTTCCAAATAATAGGGAAAGACCTTGCAAATATTGTATCATTCCCAATATTCCTATGAATTCTGCATCCGTCATTCTTACCGAGATTTCTGTTAATTTGTTTTTTTTTTTTTTTTTTTTTTTTTGTTTTGTTGTTGTTTTGTCTTCTAGTCTATGATATTGAGGTTATATAAAATTTTGCCTCTGCTAGCGCGATCTGTCTTGATAACACGTTTGGCTGGGAAATGAAAGATCCGTATTGAGAACACAGCTAATTTTTCTCACGTCTGGTCACCGAAACTTAAAAAAATCTGAAAGCTTTCAGATTTTAGATTACGTTCAAAGGGGCGTTTTTTTAACGTTTTGTGTGTTACCTTTATTTATTAACTATCATGTTCCTCGCACTTAAACCATAAAATTCAGTTCAACAGCAATATTGCAAAATAATTTAAAAATGAGAATAACTTTAGAATTTCCGATACACAGTCTCGTTCTCTGGAGATAAAAATGTTTTTTTTTTTCCGTACAGTGTTGCCATTGCTCGCTTTGAAATCGTTGAGTTCGTTAATCAAAAATTCGTTAAACGTTTACAAAATATGAAATAGGTAATAAAGCAAATTCCAAATCTGGCTTCCAGATGCCCATATTCGAGTGTAAACGTTCAATATTCAAAATTTGCTGGCTCCAGGTAGCGTTGTTTTATCACAGTGCGAGAAACATACACACATTTATGCAGCTTCTTCATTATTTAATTTCATTAAATATAGTACAGGGCGATAATATTTGGTGGCAACAATTTGAACAATGAACCGACATTTATAGTGAATCAACGCAAAATGCCAAAACGAAATTAATAGTCCGGGCAAAGTGCTCCTTTGGACTAATAACTGTACATGGTGATATAATAATAAACGGTATTTTTGACGTGACATTTTCAGTTAATATGAATCTTTAAGAAATCGCAGCCAACAAGTTCATGCAGAAATTATATGTTGAATGCGACAGCATCTCGATTTCATACATGTCTTAAAATTTATCTTCGATCTGATTAGTAACGGCGAATTTTCAATATTCTGTCACAATGACACTTCCTTTTTGTTTATTCAGTATATTACTGCCGTAGAATGATGTTGTTCTTGCTGTTGTTTTGTATGTGTATTTCATGGAAGAATGGTTTCCAGAGCCTCAAGGAAGTTGAACTCCTATTTTCCCCCAGATTTTGAGGGACAGCACACCGGGGGTGGTCCGAGGGTCTCCAACCCTCTACCCTGACAACAAATCTCCCGTGAAGACTTTCGGCTCGCCATACATTTAGAGTGCCCCATGCCGCTAAGACACTATACATTTACAAACATTCATGCCATCTCCGGGATTCGAACCCGGGTCTTTCGGTACTGCAGTAGGCTCCTCTAATCGCTACACCATCTGAGAGGCTTCTGTACTTGTCAAGGTGCTGAAAACATGTTTTGTCATTGTCAGAGAGCAATCTGATTTGATTCTAAGGATTTTATGAAACAAACAACATAAATTCTTTTGAAAACTTCCGCGTTTTGAGATAAATAAGAATAGTTTACATTTATTTAAGCATTGTGACTCAGAATTTGGTTGCGAAAGTTTGAAATTACCTAGATAATTCAACCCATGCTTGATTTCCGAACAGATGTTGGTACTGTATTTAAATATATTATTTGATGCATATAATATAAGCATTTTCAAGCCTTAATTTTAGCCACGCTGTTCTACTCAAAAATAAAATATCAGTTACGTGGCAGTAAATAAAAAAAAATAAATAAACATTAGGACATATTAGATACCTGTGCAATATATTTTTTGCTTTCAGATAATCCAAAGCAAGAGCTACTTCACATAAATAGATTACAACTTTCCTTGAAGGAAGACGATTATCTTCTTCGATGCAGTGCCGAAGATCACCTCCCGACAATAATTCAAAGACTAAATAAATACTGTCTTCATCCTAAGAAAACACACATGTACATTAAGAAAAGTAAGAATTTTTCCTTTTATTAATTTTTATTTCATTGAAGTCTTATATAATCTAAACTATCCATTTGATGTTTTAAATTTATTTTTAAAAACGTACAGTAATTCTACTTACGACGAAAGCATACCACAGAGTAACAATAAAAGGATGATTTAGTGAGGAAAGGATTTCGACTTCTTTGGTGATGCTTTTAACATGATCTTTTTCGCTGCTTTCTTCGTTTTCAATCACCTTCATAGCAAATAACTCCTTTGTACCTCTTTTTTCAACAGCATATACCTATAGAGAATCCTCTAAAATCACGCCTGCCTTAACAGTCATATAACAAAACAGAGGAAATAAAACAAACATTGCTATTTTAAAGAAAGTGTTGCGAAATATCGAAAAGTCCAACTAAAATACACACACAGAATTTTTGTTGGATTATAAACTGTATTCATTATTGAAAGTTGTTCCAACCAAAGCTGAAAATTTTAATTTAGGGCGATTTTTGATGTTTTGATTTCACAAGAAAACCATAATAAAAATTCGAACGTAGAAAAGTCCTCCTTTATTAAAAATGGATTGGTATTCGGCACAACAATGCATTCTTACTGTTAAACATTATTTCAAAAATGTTGAAAGTTTGACTGCCATGATTGTTTTGTAACATATATAACGCAGAGTTAAATTTGTTTAATATTCTAGTGTACAATGTGTTTATTAAGAAAATGTGGAGGGTAATAAATATTAGTAAATATTAGTATAAATATTAGTAAGCAAAGGAGCAGGTAAATGAACATATCTCTTAATATAACGTATTTTTCGCCGTATAAGACGCACCGGCATATAAGACGCACCCAATTTTAAAGGAGGCAAATCTAGAAAAAAAAAAAAAAGATTATGAACCAAATTCTGTAGTAAAATATTTATATCAACTGTATAAAGTTAACAGCAGTTTAAGAAAAATTTTATGTCAACCATGTAACATACTAAGAGCTATCTTACTCTCATAAACAGTCGCAAACAGTGAAAGTAACAAAAATAAGGCTGTCATGTTTTTATTCTAACCCCAAGAATTCCTCTTCTTCGCTGCTATCAGAAATGAGGAAGGACAGATCCACGCAGTCATTGTCATCACTTTCTTCCTCACTGGTGTCAAATAAGACGTCGTCTTCTGTTCCATCCAAGGCATTACTAATGCCACACTTCTTGAATGATTTTACAACAATGTCTTTCTTTACGGAGTCCCATGACCTTTTAACCCATTCACACACTTGTGTGATAGTGGGCCTCTTCATCCGTCCAGTAGGAGTCAGATCATGCAGGTGGAGGTTCCCAGCTGCCATCCAGGTGTTCCACTCCTCTCGCATCAGAACTTTGAACGGTTTGTTAATAGAAATGTCCAGAGGTTGCAGCTGGCTGGTAAGACTACCAGGAATCACAGCTATTTGGGTCTTAACTTCCTTAAAGTTCTTTTTAGTAGTTTCTGTAATGTGCGCTCTGAACTGGTCAAGCACCAACAAGGAAGATTTCTTCAGAAGCCCGCCAGGACGTTTGGACCACACTTTGTCAATCCACAGCCATGCCATTTTCGTCCATCCACCCTTTATCATGAACGTGCACGATGACTCCCCGTGGAATTGTTTCTTTTGGGAATGTTTCCTTTTAAAGATCAACATTGGCGGCAGTTTGGTACCATCTTCACAGCAGGACATCACAAACCGAGTAGTGGGTTTCTCATGCCCTGAGGTTTTTACGGTTATGCTTTTGGCTCCTTTGTTATCTACGGTTCTGTTAGATGGCACATCAAACGTAAGCGGGACATCCATGTTCCAATCTGGCTCATTTCAAGTTATTCTTCTTCCTCGCATCAATAACAAAACTTATGAAAAGACAGAATCTTTGATTCGTATTCCTTTGGCGTTTTTTGTGCAATTCTGATTTGTGCGCATAGAAAGGCCAGATCTCTTCATAAATCTATAGCACCACGATGGTGATCCGGTGAAATCCTGAATGCCTTTCTCCATAGCAATGCGTTTGGCCTCATAGATTATCATTTTTGTTGAAAGTTGTTGAAAGAGACAGAAAGTCCATTTTGCTTCTACCTCTAACTCTGGCCACTTTGCAGTTGGTCCACGCAAGGTGTGCTTGCTTTTCTCCAACTTTTGGAGCTGATCCTCCTGTTCCCTCCACTCTCTTATCATTTTCTCAGTTGGAGGTGGCCCAAAGTGTCTCTCCGCTGCTCTGTTTCCATGCTCCTTAGCAAATTTTATTACTTCTAGCTTGAAAGCAACTTTATATGCCAGTCTCTTCTGCTTCGACATATTGATGGGATGGTATGAAATATGATATATTTCATTCAGATATACCATACTACATATATCACAGCTCACAGCTATCAGCGCCTCCGCTTGCTCCCGCACTGCGATTGGCTGAGCGAAGAGATGGCGTGCCTTCACCGCTCCCCGCGCTGGCTTACGAGACTCTAAAAAGTGCACCAAAGCCAGCGCGGGAGCGAGCGAAGGCACGCGCCTCTTCGCTAGCCAATCGCAGCGCGAGGCAGAGACCGTCCAAATACAGTGCGAGGCAGAGCGGGCTTCCTGGTCTCAGACGGCGCCAAGAGGTGGAAGGGAACGGAGTGGCCGAGTATTCCTGCGGTAAGGTATGTATGCAGAGGTGGAGGGGCAGCGGAGGGCCATGGTGGGCTTTTGTATTTGCCGTATAAGACGCAGGCACTTTTCCGCCCTGATTTTGGGGAGAAAAAGTGCGTCTTATACGGCGAAAAATACGGTATATTGCCAATGAAGAAATGCAAGTCGTCTTTTCCCAGCAATATTCGGAGGATGACCTTAGGGAAGCTTCCTTTGGTGAACTGAGGAAACACATGAAGGGTTCTTAGCTATTGCAATTATCAAGGACCTTACGAAGAAATAGAAATTAGATTGATTCCATATTTCTTGAAACGAATATTTATTTACGTAATTAAAAAAGTAAAGAGGTGCAGGTTTTAGGCAAGCAGGAGCATCTCGAATAAACTTAAATGGGTACTATTCCGTTATAGCGGCGTCAGTTAAAAATAAAGAAAAAATGAGAAGAAAACAATGGTACAATAACACGCCAAATATCGTGGCTCGAGAATTTAACATCTAAAATATCGTGGCTCGAGAATTTAACGTTTTAAATATCTTAGCTCGAGATTTCTAGTTCGCGTTTGAAATATCATCACTCGTTATTTTGTTGCCATATTTCACCATTTTTTAAAGTACGACGGATTGCAAAATTTGGCAATTACCTAATGGCCAAAAGTCTGTTATAACATTCTTTCAGGACAGAGGAATAATTCATAGCAATAGACTTTGTTCTCAAAATCATCCGATGAAGTTTTAACTCAAACAATGATTCTATATGGTTTTGTTATGTCCGTTTTTGCTATGGGAAAAAAGGACAAAGAACCAAAACATGGTTTGAAGACTCCCGTCTTCCTTTCCTCAATGTTGTTCGTTTTAGCTGTCTGTGGTATCAAGAACTGACATTGATTGAATTTTGCTAACTTCAGTAAGAAATGAGCCATAATACGAAAATAGCTTTGAATAACTACTTCAAAGTTTTTTTACAAAAAAAAAGAAAAAAAAGAAAAACAAAGTTGGACGTGTTCTTCCGGAACAATGGGTATTCGGGGTTTATTCTGGAAAAGCAACGCGGATGGCAGTATTATATTTTCAGACTGCTAGAAAGGATGTAAAAAAGAGAAATTAAGAAATGTTGGATATGAACATTTCACTATGAATCACAGTTATAATTTTATAGACCTCCGAAACTGGATGCCATACCCAAACTGTGGAACGATTGTGTGGCAGTGCTAAATGGAGAAATAATTCTCAGGTGTCGGTTACATTCAGTTGAAATATTGGATGATATTTGTAATTTTGTGCCATCTGTTTAGACTGAATTTCGTTTTGCTTTGTTATTTTGTTATTTATGTGTAGAGTATTCTAGATTAAGAAATTAAAAAGAAAAATTTACTTTCTTTAAGAAATTAAAAAAAATACTTTTTACAAATCTAATTTCTTTTTAGTCTTTTGAACTCTATTATTACTTCATAATTTTATACTCGGCAACAAATGGTTGCAAAAGAAAAAGCGGCGCACTTTAACTAACGCCGTTCTAAAGGAATAGAACCTTTAAATGAATTGTGTAATTGATCTGTTCAATGACAGATTAATTGATCTGTTCAATGACAATACCATGAAGTACTTCAGGACCATGTTGAAGAAGGGAACCATTTTACACATTTCATGAAACTTGGATCTCTCACAGACTGGAAGAAGGTAAACAATAGTTGATTCTTTCAATGAATTCAATTCTCCAATGAATTTCAATGAATTCAATTAGTGGAAGAATGGATTATTTCTAATGAAATTGAGTTAAAAAATTATGAGATTCAATTATGGGGCCTGGAATACGAATCCCGAGGAGAACATTGTTCATTTTTCGTATTTCACCTTTCTGAAACCTAATAGGCACTACAAGAAGCTTTCAAACAAAATTGCGGTAGATGATGTTTCGTCTTGGCAACTCACATATCAAAACATCCTCGCGATGTCCTGAGCGGATAAACTCGCGGGATAAGGGCACATCCTCAGGACATCCAGGAATATTCCCCGAATCTCTTAAACACATCCTCCCGAGCCCTTTAATGTCACATCCCAGTATATCGTCAGGGCATCCTAACTAAGTCCCATCGACAGCTTACGGGATGTTATACGAATTGTTATCTCCTATTTACTACATCTTCAGGACATCCCGGAATATCCCACTAACTTCCTAAACACATCCCATTATATCCTCAGAACATCCTGACTAGGTCCCATCGACAACGTATGGGATGTTATTAGGATTTAAAGTCCTACTTGCTACATTCTCAGAACATACCGTAATATTGCCTTTTCCTTCTATTCCTCAATCGGCCTTTAAGTGGGGTAGACTGTAACTTTACCGCATGCCTTTGCCAAAGCAAATCTGCCTAGCACCGAGAGGTCTTCGAGGCCTGCTAAACGCCATCTTCCTACAAGATAATGCCAGACCATATATTGCACGTCGTATTCTGACCCTCCTCGATACACAGGGTATTCAATTGCTGCCCTGGCTTGCACGGTCTCCAGATCTGTCAGCCATTGAAAACATCTGGTAATGGGTTGCTGAGAGACTGGCCCACCACCCATCTCCAGTTAACACTGTTGATGAAGTATGGCATAGAAGTGAAGCAGCATGGAATGATATGCCCATTTTCTGTCATCCAAGCCCAATTTGACTCCATGCCTAATGGGGTAAGGGCAGTTTTAGCTGAAAGGGGTGGCAGCTGTTTCTACTAATTTCGCACCCCTGTAAACCTGCAAAATGTTTACAAATTTAATCATTTTGTCTCCATACTGTTTACGTGCAATAAATATCTTTTTTGTATTTGCTTTCCTTCATGCTGCTGTAATTTTAATGGCCAGCAGTGTATAAAAAAATAATTTGAAAGCAGATAATTTGTTTAATCAAATGGGCTACTTGTAATATGCAAATAGGTTTCGAAGACTACTACAATAGCAAATTAGGATATAATAACATAAAATTTCTTAGAACATTACTAACTAAACCTGAAAAACATTTTCGAGCTTTTAAGTTAAAAACTATTAATTCCCTCAATACTTTTGTACACAAATTTATAACATTTTGTGCAACTTAATTTTTGACAGCGCAGACTTTTACAGTATCATTTTAAAATGATATAAAATGCATCTTAACTGTTCCTCTGGTACATATACTTGTATAATAAAGCAAAAATTTAATACATTTATTTTTTAAAATATTAAGAATGAAAACCGATAAATAGAATTCAAATATTACCAAAAACGTTATATCACTGTAAAACAGTAATAGTTTTTTTTTTCTCTTTTCAAATTTGTGTTACTTATATTATTTCTTTTACATTTTATAGAAAACAATAACTGATAAGTTTAAAGTAATTATAACATAAAATACAATACTTACCTTTCCGAAGCTTCCTTTCCCAATTTTTTTAATGATGCGGAAGTTATCTGGCGAAACTGTGAAATAAAATTGATCATTCAAGTAAACAAAAAAGAAAAAATTTTCATAGAATCTATTGAGCTATAGAATGAATTTCTAAATATGAAGAAATGAAGATAAAATCGTAAAGTTGTAAAGATAATACATTAGTAAAGGAACACATTCCTGAAATGCTTAAAGAGAATAATATTCATAAAAATTGGGTAATTCTTAGATTTTCTGCTTAGAAAGGAAAAAAATGCTCCAAGGAAAGGTTATTTAGATACTCTTTTTGCAGCACTTGTTTAAAATGTAGATTTTCTCATCCTGAGAGATCCGCCAGTAGGATTAGAGACACAAACATCGGTGCCACTGGCAGTACATGTGGAGTACTACTTGGACCGCTGTACCTCGTGGCCGGTGCAGTGCGAGTGCGAGGGCTGTGCAGAACCTTGATAATATGTGCAGGATTCTTAAATGAACTGATAGTACGGGGTTCTGCGGCTTCCTCTCCAAACAAATAAAATCTAATAAAATTTAAAACTGTGCACGAAACTTAACAAATAAAATTGTTTACTATTTTGGGGGGCGAGGGGGTCTTGGAAGATTTTTGACATAAAATGCAAAGCAAATGTATAAAACTCTGCTTAATTTTCCTGCCGTCTCATAACTGTTTATTTTTTTGTGGCCATCTTCTGATATTTGGCTTCTTGATGGATTGTTGTAGTCATGTTGTAGGATTCAGTCTTCTTTGTTAACATACACTTTAACTAGATATACTTAAAAGTCTATTTTGAGACTTCTTGCGAAGACTCGAAGATGAATACTACAGGGGAAGAGTGTAAAAGACTCTTTTTATTGAACCAAGTTGCCATCTACTGGTGAGGAATTTAAAAGATAAGGTAACATTTAATTTCAAAGCTAATTAGTAGTGCAAGACTACACAATTCGATTTAACCTAGCAGGTTGATTCAGACACTTACACCGACGAGCTAATAATTTCTGCGGCAAAAATGCAAAGCCGAGATTCAAAGTTCAGAAAGCTGGTAGAAATAACAACTTGCGCTCTCCATACCAAAACCACTCTCTAACTAAATTTATCGCTACTTCAGTTATACTTGTGTATAAAATTTACAAGTGATAAAATGGAAAAAAAAGAAAACTAACAAATTAAAAAAAAGAAAATGAAATATGTAAATCAGGTCCTTTAGAGTTGATCAGTTGTCGTGAACATTGTGAGTTTAAGAGAAAATAATGAGCGGTTTGTTAAAATTTAGATCAGATGAAAGATCTTTTAATATATAGCATTTTAATACTATTTAGCACAGTGTAATAAGTTCATTTTACAGTACGCAACATCCTCAAAAATGATCGTTACAACGCAGTTCGATCATCCATCTTTTGAACAACAATCTCTCTCGTTGCCATTCCGTAACAGAGAAACTTACCTCTCATGGAGTTCGATAGTGGCGCGACATTCTCCCCACCTTGAGTTTGGGGATACAAACTCAAAACAGTAATATAATGATAATACATACATACAATTTTGAGATAACAATAACGTACATAATAATAATAGAAATATTTCAAAATATTAGAATGCAAATTGAAATCAATATTTTAGAGTTCAAACACAGAAAGTTCAAAAGTTTGTTTAGAAGTTTATAAATCCAGTCTTTTAACTGGTTTTATTTTTCGTCCTGAGCGAGACACGCGAACAGTTTCATTAGAGTCAGTATTAAGCTCAGGATTTTCAGCTACCACTTCCGGAACCTTCTGAGGTTCCGATACGACTTGCTCGTAATTTGGGGTCAATTCCAAAGGATACAGTCGTTGGATTGGTCTTAATATGTTTCCCTTTTCAGTTCGCAGTTTCACAAGTCTGATGATTCCATCTTTTCCTGGAAAGAGTTCCAGTACTCTCCCTAGCAGCCAATGGAGCCTTTTTTTATCATCTGTACCAATTAACACTATGTCACCTACATTTATTTTATCTTCTCTTTTGTTAACTGAAGAACGAAGGAAACCCAGATACTCCCTTTTAAACCTTCGTTTTAGATTTTCACGAACCTTTTGAATATGTCTCCATCTCAAAACAATATTAGTCTTTTCAATTTGATCCAAATCAGGAACATCATTTAATGGAATGTCCTGAAGAAACATTGAGGGGGTCAAGGTCTTCAGATCTTGTTCCTCGGATATGTAAGTTAACGGTCTGCTGTTCATGATAGATTCGCTTTCACAGACGAGAGTCTGCAATTCCTCGTAAGACAAACAGGAGCGTCCAAGATTTTTTCTCAAAAGATCTTTCAAAATCCCAATCAAGCGTTCCCAGAAGCCTCCCCACCATGGAGAGGAGGGTGGGTTAAACTTCCAACGAATTTCGTTGACTCTAAATTCACTTTCAATTGTAGTCCAATCTAATTGTTTCAGAGCATTATTTAGTCCTGTAAAATTAGTACCATTGTCTGAATACATCACAGAAATTCGTCCTCTTCTGGCTATAAACCTACGCATAGCTTGGATGAAGTCATTGGTACTCAGTGAAGGTATTAGCTCAAGATGGACAGCTCTAAATACGGCGCAAGTAAAAAGTACTATCCACACCTTTTGTTTAGATTTAGTCAACAGAGGTCCAGCTATATCTACACCTGATACTTGAAAAACTGCTGCTACTTCTGTTCGGTCTTTTGGAAGAGGCGGAAAAGGTACCTCAAGATGTTTTACCTTTTGCCTTTTACATGTTAAGCATTCTTTGATAACACTCCGGACAGTTCTTTTCCCTTTCACTATCCAAAATCTTTCCCGTAAAATAGTCAGTAGAGTTAATGTCCCAGCATGCTTGTTAGCAATATGTTCTTGGGCTATAAATCTTCTCACTGCCAGGTGTTTCGATGGTAGAATTATTGGAGAAATAAAATCTTTCGATTCTTCCTCATTTATCAATCTGGACTTCAATCGTAAAATTCCTTCTTCATCTTCAAATATTAGAAGACCTTTCAAATTTTTTCGTGTTTCTTCATTGGAGTAACATTCCTTTTGTATTACACGGAAAATAGTCCTTTGTGCATTTAACAATTCTTCATTTTGAAGTTCCTTACATTTTCTTAAGTCCTTGGCCTTTGGTTGAAAACGCAGTATCCAAGCCATAACCCTAATCATCTTTGAAAATCTAGAGAATCTTCTGGCTAACTGTAATGGAATTGACTCTAGCTCTGTGTTACTAGCAGAGATGACTGACTTTCGTTTCTCTATCTCTACTTCTTTTTCGTTAATATTTACAGCTGACTTTGGCCACTGCTCCTTCGGATTCTTCAACCAGGCTGGCCCTTGCCACCACTTGCGTTTCTGAAGTTGCCTAGGTCCACTTGTCAATTTTCTAATTTCACTTATTCTGTTTGTAACGAATACCGACCACTGTTCTCGACGAGTTATCCACACAAGAACTGTGGAAGAATCTGTCCAAAAGTAAGTCTTGATGTTGGGAAGTTTTAGAGCTTGCTTCACAGAACTAAACAGCCTAGCACCTATGGTAGCAGCCATTAGTTCAAGTCGTGGTATAGTAATAGTCTTCGTTGGAGTTATTCGTGATTTGGCTTGAAGTAATTGAACAGTCACTGAACCCATACTGGATTCACTTCTTAAGAAAATGCATGCCGCATAAGCTGTCTTGCTGGCATCGACAAAAGTATGGATACTTAAATTGGATTCCTTCATCACACCTAACCATCTTGGAATTTTTATATTTTTGAGGTATTTCAGTTGTTTTCCCCATTTTAAAAAATTCTTCTTTATTTCATCATTCACTTCACCATCCCATGATTCTTTGCTCTTCCAAGCGACCTGCAGCAAAATCTTAGGCTGAATCATAACAGGTGCAAGGAAACCTATGGGATCAAATACTCGACTAACTAGTGAAAGCATTTTCCTTTTAGTTACTTTTTCTCTTTCATCAAATTTCAAAAAAATTCGGTGTCTATTTCCAAGGTATCTAAATCTTTGTCCCAAACCAGTCCTAATACCGGTGATGTTTTACTTTCTGAAAATGCAGGAATGCCAGAACTTTCCCATCCTCTGAGATCAAACATTCCTTCTTTCATTACATTAGTTGCAGATTCGATGAATATTTCTAGTTCGTCATTATTTTGTACACTAGTTACGCAATTATCGACATAAAAACTATCTTGTAATTTTTTAAGAAATTCTTCAGAATATTTTTCTTTCCACGTTTCTTTGGATAAATGATGGTCAATAACCGCCATCAGCAAAAATGGACTACAAGTAATGCCAAATACCACACGGGTGTGACGAAATGTCTTCACTCTACCATCATCACCATACCAAAGAAATCGTAAAAAATCTCGATCTCTTTCATTTAGAGATATCTGTAAAAAAGCTCTTCTGATGTCTGAAATCACACCAATTTCATGTAAGCGAAATCTTGCTAGAATAGACGGAATAGTTTCAATCAAATTAATTCCAGTCTCTAAGCAATCATTTAGAGATGGCTGATTAGAAAGCTTTGCCGAAGCATCAAAAACGGGTCTAATTTTCATGGAAGATAGTGAGGACGTTTCCTTAATGACTGGACGATGTGGGAGGTAATGAACAACGGGTAAAGACAACTCCTTTTGGGGAACTTCTTCAATCACTCCTTCCTGCAGCCATTCATTAAAGACTTCATGATACCTTTCACGATATCCGATTTTTTCCAACTTCTTCGTAGTAGATTCGAGTCTTTTCAAAGATAGGTCATAATTGTCAGGTAAGACTGCATGCTCAATCTTCCAAGGCATATCAACCTCGTATCTACCATTTTCTAATTGACGAACTGTTTCTTGGAAATGAACCATAATAGCTCTTCTTGACTCTTCTTTAGTTTTTTGTTCAACAGGATCTCGGATACCCAATAATTCTAAGTCCCACAACGATGAAATAGGCAGGTCTTCTTGAGATAACATAGAAACTATAGTCATATTTACATTGTGCTGATGTTCGGATTGAGGTACTTTACCCATCAAAGTCCAACCCAATTTTG